TTTGGTTTGGACTTCTTCGCGGACGCGGGCTTCTGTCCGCAGCCCTTGACCCAGCAGCCAGTTTGTATGACGCATTCGCTTGGCTGACAGTACCAGCATCCACGAGAGCTTTAAGAGCCTTGTTAAGAGCTGCCTTATTCTCGACACCGAAGTTTTGCTTGATGAAGCTGAGAACGGCCTGACGGCTCATCTTCTGGAATCCCTTACATGTGGTCAAGGCCTGCTTGATCATAACCGAATAATTGGGATGAGCCGCAGATTTCTTACCGGATTTGACGGTCATTGTGAGAGTTAAGTCGGAATCGTGGTCATGACACGCACGATTTTCCAGGATACCGCTAATTGCGATTTCTGAAACAAAAGCTGTAAAAAAGAGAAACCCATCATGATCGCATATTATTTTATAACAAGGAGGAGGATGGCGTTGAGAAACGCCTTGGAAAGGATTCAGATGCTTAGATAACTCCAATCTGCACTTCAGTGACCATGAAGCCTCACGCGGAAGTGAACTTGGTCACAGCCTTGGTGCCCTCACTGACGGCATGCTTGGCCAGCTCACCCGGCAAGACCAAGCGAATCGCAGTTTGGATCTCCCGGCTAGAGAGAGTTCCCTTGTTACTGTACTTACAAAGACGCCCGGCCTCCGAGACTATACGATCAAAGGTGTCGCTCACCAGCGAGTTCATGATCATCATGCTCTTCTTGGATATACCGGTCTTAGGATGGACTTGCTTCAACACCTTGAAGATGTAGCTGTTGAAGGTCTCTTTCCTGGAAGATCTACGCTTCTTATCAGCAGCAGGCTTGCTGGCGGCGGCAGTTTTGGGAGCCATATTAGAATTTAGAGAGTCAGTAGAATATTATGTAGTTCCAAAAACATCTGAACATTGTCTCGGCCCTCCGAGAAACTTCTAATACAAATCTCGTAAAAATGCTGAGGAAATAAAATTTAATCGGCAACATTACGAATCCTTTCCTCACATCATTTGTGCAATAATTGCGTTCCTGAGATACTTCAATTGGTGTTTAGATGGCGCCAAAAAACGCCTTGAAACGAGTTCAGCAGGTTAGTGCCTCCAGCTGCATAAGCCCGAGGGGATTATTTACATCTCCTGGGAAGCAGTAAAGCTCTTGCCCTTACTCTTTTTGGGCAAAAGAGTAGTGTGGATGTTGGGTAAGACGCCACCACTCGCAAGAGTACACCAGCGAGGAATTTTTCAGTTCTCATCGTGCGGACAGCCA